AAATAATTCTGTTTTAACAAGCTTTTTATTTTACTCGTTAGTATGTATTCAAATCTCGTGATTTTAATGATAATGCAATTGAGTAGCGCCATGAGGTGTCCCATTGAAACTTTGTAAATATTATATGACAGTATTATTTCGGTTTCTTGTAATTTTCTTAATAAGCATTGTAAAATTAGGATGTGTCGAGAGTGTCATAAATGGATCAGGAAAGTGATCATAGTAAATTTTCAACTATTTCATATAATCCCATTGCGTTTGCACGCATAAGTAAAATATGGTGTATATAAAGTTCACTCATTTTCACATATTAGTAACAAGTGAAACAATGCATAAATAGCAGGCAAATATGTAAAAGCTTGTATATAGATCTATAATGTTTAGAACTAAGACGGCCCTGATATAAGTGCATAAAAATATATAAATTTTTAACAATAAACAATATTATTTTGCGTAAACGAAGAGCCGATGGCGACTATAGTGAAACACACGGATGACGTCAATGCACAATGGCTGTCAGCACACAATAACAGACGTCACGTTTCCATTGAAATATTCGAAGTAATAGTCAAAAGTTTAACATGTAATTAGAAGATTAACAACCAATTAGGGCATTACAAATTAATATTTTTATAATGAGAAATATTTTAAATAATACATTGGAAAAAGGCATTCAGGTAAAACATATCACTAGCATCTGTGTTATTTAGTATTTAATCTCCTATTACAGTCTTAGGTCATGTGTATAAATTGTCTGCGTCTATAAATTTTAAATGTATCATATAGTAATAGATACATAGTAATGTGTATTGCAAAATATATTTATGCATACCAGCGCAAAATGCCACAGATAATAATCAACAGTCAAAGTAGCCGAGTACAATTTGTACTTTCCCGGAGCCAGATTCCTTATGTTGTTAAGAGAATTATGTACATATGTTTTGTAGTCTCGGCAACATTTGATATCAACTCAATAATACATTAATTATTCGTCATCATTCAAGTAATTAATTATACATTACTCACAGATAGATAATGTAGATTGCTTGGTTCCTTAAAAACAATTGATTATATACAGAAGAAACAGTTTCAATAGAAATAAATTTAAGTAAGATAGACTTCTCGACACCTGCAATAATACATTGTGATATCTTAGGTTCATCTGTAGTTCATTCTACGTATATGTAATGTACGGAGAATTAACATTTCAATATTCGTAACTAATACTATATAACTGATGATCTGACAATTAGTTTTAATTAGACTACAATTTCTACCCAATGCCTATCCTACGATTAAATTGTTAAAAATACTCGTCATATTTTTCAACGGTGTTATTTCGTAAGTTAGTTTCATACATCAAGATTTGGTATTGGAACAATAACTTCTATACTAATACTTCATGTACTGGACGCAGCTTCAACAGGTCGTCCTTGTATTAAGTGTAAACACTATTGTTTGATCACGTGGCTACCATCCATTATGATCTGATAAAGGGGTTCACGCAAGTAAACCTTTGTTCCGCAGCCATTTTGCCAACAATAGTAGAAACGAACTATTCTGATAAATGGTATTTACTATAATGTCGTTTGAATGTTAAGTTTTCGTATGGAATGCCAATATTTTCTTACATAAAAAATAATACTTAAAACTGATATAACAAAAACATTAATTGAAGACAGACTATCGATAGTATCGACACTATATAGTCAATAAATCAAATCAAGATGACAGAATATAGGTACAATATACGGTGAATTTAAATTGAAACACATATCTTACTTCCTTCAAGTTGTACAAACAGTACAACTTGAAGGAAGTAAGATATGTGTTTATTGAAGAAATTACATATTACGGAGACATTGCAGAGAACTTAGTTCTCTGGAATGGTATAAGGCATTAGAGGTATGTGGCGTCATATGACGTGTGATATTTGTGGAGCTGTTCATGTACATGAAGTACCTACACATGAATACATAAGCGATATATATATATATATATATATAAATGATAAGTAAAACTTTTATAATGTAATTAACTAATTAAAATCTTGATAAACTAAATAAAAGACTAGATTATTTAGTGTGATTGGAATTGGATTCCGTTTAATTGCATCAAAGGGCAGTTAGCAAACTGACCAGACGAATCGTGTCAATAAGTTAAGTGTTAAGCAGCACTATTATTCACTAATCAATTAAAGGATTACATGGGTAATACGGTACCATTACGCTGTATGTGTATATTAGTGTATTAAAACTGCCAAAATGGCATAGTTTATCTAAGCGGCTATTACGTTAGATCACTAGATATAAGAAAGATTAGTTATTTAATGAGCATATTACCAGGTGAAAATGATGAATTAGTTCAATTGGTAATTTCATGTACTCCTTTCTTAGCGAAAAAAGACGCGATTACGTAATAGAACGTTTGAAAATAATTAGAGAGTTTTCACTGATATTTCATTTAGTCACAACGGACAATTCTCTATATACAAGCTTAGTATATTGCCATTACTATGTATATTGAAATTAGCAGAATCCAAGAAGTTATTTGATTTCATTTGAATGCTTTAGATTTGGTTCACTAATTACATTCGGTACGTTGCATGAACGTGCAAGAGTTAATTCCATGTAATTATGTTTCAGTTAATGTTTTATTACTTTGTTTCTTTTTTACTGTAATTAAAATAAGAAACAAATAAATAATGTGAACATTAAAACGTCGTCATTATATTATAATTATGTCAATATACAACCAATTTCAAATTTATATACTTAATTCATAATAATATAATTAGTGTTAAAATTTTCAATAGGGACAAAGACAAAAATACAAAACAATCTTTTTTGATAATTGTAGCAACGTATCCTGTTTTCAAGGACTGTAATAATGCTCAGTAAACCGTTGGTGAAGGTAATAAGTGTCTCGGGAGGACAACGACCCGACCGTCTCGAATCGTATATTGCAATTCAATTTTATAATACAGACCATTGGGTTCATTGTACATAGTTGTAGATGATTCATTAGATGGCATATAGATAACAGTATAATTCTTTTGATATGATTTGTGTTCCATTGCTTTTATTGTGATTTAATTGTTAACTTTGTGACTTGAGACAATACTGCCTGTATTGTGTCAGTATAAAAATACTGGAGTTGCCACCTAAAGTAGCGTAAAGAGGACAACGGCCGTCGCACCTGGGAGGTGCAATGCAAGCTCACTAACGACTGGAACGGTTGCTATTTTTACACCGTCCACTCTATCTTATTTACTATTCTGGTCCGCGACTCATTGAATTGTGGTTATTATGTGCAAGCTGGATATGTGCCAACGATACTCAGACTTAACACGCCGATAGTGAGATATTCGTAGAATGATATGATGGTCAAATGATACTGGGAAGAGCAACTCACAGAAATGTATCATCACATAAAAAGACACAAAGCCAAGGCTAATGACTTAAGAGGATCGTTGAGATTTGGTAAATATTTATCAATCCTAAGTTTATAGGCATTTATTATGTCACATTATTTATGATTATTACTATTAGCCTAATTTAGTCCAGCATTAGACGAAAGCTTCTTCATGTCCTCAAAAGTGGCTGTTTTGATACTATAAGATTATGTACGTTTAGTTGATAGTTTCGTTTACATATGATACGAGCAAGTGACTGTCGACGAGCAATAAGAGAGGAGACCACGTCAAACCGGCGAGCGAGTGAAGCGGTGGCAACGTTAAACCGGTCGGCGGCGCCGGGCGTCGCGCGTCTGCCGCGGGGATCGACCGAGGATTATCACCTTGTAAACAAAATTGCATGAGCTTTGTTTTTGATGTGACTAAGTGAATGGTCATAAGTTTGACACATGTAATAGAAAGGCTTCTTATAGTTAGGTACTCTACAGGTATATAAATCATGCAGATATGGAAGTTAAAAACATATTAACTTGTATTTATGTTCATATAAACAGGCAACCGGATATTTTTTATATTGGTACTTAGAACATTGAATAAGATAGCAAGTAAGACACGGCGACAAATCTGCTAAGTATTTCAACTCGAACTTAAATGGCAAGGACATCGCGTAGTATGTGTGAAGGCGTATGGAGCGCGAGATTAATATTCGGTTTTCAAAATTGTTTAGGGTAAAAAGTGTACACTGAGCACAGCGACAAGCAGTAAAACGAAATCGCCTAAGTGGGTCATCATATAATTTCGCAAGCGTATCGAGTGCCGCAAGCGTGAACTGGTACATTCGAGGCAAGTCAAGGCCCGATGCCGATGAGGCCCCGTTCCTGACAGTTTTGCCTGCGGTTTAGGTGCTACGCATCTTCATTACGTTTATTACCTATGACACCGACCCGACCCTATTAATCCTAACTCGTCGCTTGCGACGTAATACTTTCTTTACTGGCTATAAAATACGTAAACTAACTAAACGAATTAACACCAATCAAGAAACAAACAATAATTACAGACAAAAACGTATGAGATTAAAAAGAACTAACCGTACATATGGAAATAATTACGTGCATTCGTATTGGAGGAAAATGATGTAAAGTTACTTGTTGTATCCGCTAATTTGATATTAACAGGAGGGGGCGACAAGATTGTTATGTATACCTACATTTGTTGTTTCAGGTATCGTAATAAATTACTATTTACTTAGCAGTTTTCGTAATAGTGCAATCATGACACGACTGACACAAGTAAAATATCAAATTGTCTACTTACATTATGCAAGCAAAGAGGTACACGTGTACAAAATTTAGAATTAATTCGCTATTAATAATTAACTATTGCTTAATAGTTATACGAAATGTCCGAAGTGATAAGGTCATACAGTTATGTAAAATATACGGATAAGTACGTGCATGATATCTTATTATTATATCATGGCTTGAGAAATAAGGAGGAAAAGTATTAAAGTGAAAGGTCTAATTTTATAAGTAAACTATCATAATAAATATACGTATTTCTAAATAAATAGATTACAACTTACCCCTTCATTTCCGGGTAGGAACTGTATCGTAGGTTTAGTACCAAATTTGCCCTGGAACAGAAATAAGACCAATATAAAATACATTTGTAAAATTACTATTATATATCAGTCAATAATCAACTGAAGTGAATAACAAAAGTAACAAGAACGTAAAATCAAATTTGTATGGCCCACAACAGGTACCTAATGAAATATAATAGACAGTATAGATAAAAATAGTATTAATATATTAGTAATAATATTTGATGAATACAAATATTTTTATGCATAATAATACAATATTTTTCAGAATTGTAATAATATCACCACACCCACTCGGTAATATTGAATCATTCTCGAAATTAGTTATATAAAACTCAACAATAAATTTATACAAATAAATAAAATTGAAGCATCTGTAATTTCAAATTAATAGCAGTTCATTAAACGCACATGAATTAAAAAAAAAATTAAATTATTTACAGCATTATAACTAATCTCTGAAACCGGCAGGATCTATTTTATCGGAACTTCCACTCAAAGATAGCCAATATTAATGGAGTAACTTAAGCTGCTTTTATTTTAGAAATTTGATTTATTTTAATAAAAAAAAGTTAAATTCCACGCCATTTAAGTCGCTACTATAGTCACAGCTAGTTATTATTGATATAATATAAAATTTAGTATTTAGTTTTTAACCGATTGAAAGAAATAGAAACAAGATTACAGACACCTGGATGAGCGAATTTGCATTCATATATTCCTTGGTTTCATATTGTGCACTGGTTTGAATGGTGATATGACAGTGAAATTAGTGGGCACTATGACGTAAGATTATAATGTCACAAAGTTCGGCAGCGCGTGATGTTTGTTACTGGTCTTATTGGTATCCATGACTAGTAATGGGAACCGTTTATCAGCACATAGAATGTACTCTTGTTTGATACGATATCCTGGTTGTATCTTCATCAATGTTAAATACTTACATCTATGAAATAAACCTCTGTGAAATATAACGTATTTCTAGCTAGCTTTTTAATGCAGCTTTACTTGTGCGAAACTAGTTATTTGCAGTTTAAGTTATAAGATTTTCGGGAAAGTCTTTAATGCTGTATCATAAAAGAACTTTCGTGCTTAAATTTCTAATATTCTAGCTCCGTAATAAACACAGATTAGTCTGTCAAACAAGTACCTTCCCTTGTTATAAAAAAAGAGTTGTTATAATAAGGACTTGCAAAGCAATAGATCTTAGAGCACAGGGTCCAAAAATTATAGTTTGATATAATTCTCTTTTTCAAGTTTATCTAAATAATTATATTCATTAGAAATAACCAATGAACATAAACTTGATGGGATTTCTATTTACTTTATTGATTTTATTAAATTATTCAGAAACTACTGTGTTTGAGATACATACGAAACTTATAGAGGGTACAAATTAATATCACTGATTGAATAGAAAAAAAAATATAAAATTATATGTAAAATTTTAATAATTGACTTATACATACATATATGTGCATTAGTAATAGCAACAATAATGTTTAATTAAGGAAAATAAATGACATGACTAATGAAAAATACACTTGGTTTTACAATAAACTTTACACGTAATATGCCACGTCAATTTAGGTTATACCTACGCTCATTAGACATTTGATCTTAATTTTAATGAATATTTATTATAATGTTAGTATCCTATCCGAGGCGATTATGTGGATAATCACCGCACTGAATTTTTTTATTTAATTGAAAATATCTATTTAATATTTATCATTACTTTCTTTCACTATTACATTTTATGAATCACAAAGATTACGTTGTTAATGTTACGTAACTTGAAAAATTATTTAATACTAACAAAACATGTATAGTTTTGTTGATAGATTTACATCTATAAAACACAATTCGTTCCGATTATTTTTTTTTTCTTAAAAGCAGTTTCTCTCCATATTCAGGTTTTCTATAGCCTTTGTAGGCATGGGACTTTGTATCCACATTAAAATTTAAGACACATTTATATTTTTTTTATAGGAAAATAAGATTATGTAACAAATAATTCAGAATAAGATGAAATAGGCAAGGATTTTTAAAATTAACTTCGATAATATAAAGGAGGATTTTTTGGACGGTCAAAATTTCCACATAATTACACCGCATAACCTAATGAAACGGCGTAATTAGACGACAAGAAGCCAAACTAGTTGGGCAACGAATCGGGTTGGCCACAATAAGCAAGTGTCGGCAAGTCTTGATGTTGCACAACCAGCGATGGTCGAACGCGAGAAACATAACTAGGCTGGGCGGCAGTGCTGATGATGTAAACTTAAAAATTGCTTTAGTTACTTACTTAACCGCACGGCTCAATGTGAAATTCAACGAGTTGCATCGCCGTCTAGACGTAGAGATGAGAGGGGATAACCCGGAACTGGTAGCATCCATGGCCGTGACTTTCGTAGGTCCGGTTTATAGGAAAATAGAATATCAACAACGGGGGCAGGGGGAGAGAGAGAAGGAACTTACGCCAATGTTCTTACGTAGGGTTGAAATGAATTATATAAAATACTAACAATGTTAACAGTTCATATCAACTTAAAATCAAATTATGTGGCGAATGCCAAACCAGTTTCAATAGACAAGGTCATAGTTGTATTAATTGAATTCTATTTTGAAACGCCCGCAGGCTATATGTAAAAGAGCAGAACTTTCTGAAGGCGTAAAGTCTGTAATTCATTGCATTACATGTCTGTTATGTAACAAAAATGCCATAAGTCTAACTATGTAAGAAATTAAATAAGACTAATTTTTAGACGAATGGCCTATTATTATTTGCATCTCTAATAGTGCTCATATAGATGTTTAACCACAGTATGATGTATTTCAAAATTAAACATTACACTTCAATTAAGAGAGGAACATTAAAATTATATAATGTAGTTGTATAAATCATAAACAGCCATTCTTAAAGAAACATCAACCACTTTTATAGAGCATTACATATGCTGTAATTTAGCTAGATACCTATACATTGCAGTTTATTATAATTTTGTGAAGAAAAAATACAAAGGTAATTTCGGCCTTGTATTGAATTGCTATGCTGCGCTGTAGTGAGGCAATATAATACCTCCACAATGTGACCTTAGCGGAATATGTTGGTGACCTTTAGAAGAAAAACTTTTTACAATTTTATATATGTATATTATATTTCTAGGCAAGATAAAAAATCACGTAACTAATGAAAGAATATCACACGAATCAAGGAAAAGAGGCATTTCTTTATTCATATATTCACTGATAAAAGAAACGCCATATTTTTGCAAAATATACCTATACTTATAGAACTAAATATTGTAAGAGTGTTAAATGTACATGAAATCAAAGCTAGTTATTCGACAAAATGTAAATAGGCGACGAAAAATATGAGCGATATTTTTAGAAACATTGATTTTACGACTTTTCACACATATGAATCTATTATTATTAAATTCTTTCTCACGACAAAAACACTTTATAATATCTATAAAAACATATAGGTCACAATACAAAAAGGTAAAATAAAATGGCCAACAAAAGTAGGAGTTATAACCGAGTCTAGTAACAATACATTTCTTATACTTTTTACAATGAAGACAAAAGTATAAAAATATAGGAATTTGGCACGGACAAAAGATATAGAAAAATTTCAATAAACCTGAACACAGGACAGTAAAAATGTGATCTCAAATGAACTCGCCTACTTGAGAAAAGAAAAGAAGTTCAACGCAAGTCGATCGAAAGTTGTCTGTATCAGGTTACTATTGTTATCTAATAAGTATATCAATATAAGCTTTCTTTATCCGTTTACTATATTGGAAACTAGTTGCAAACCATTAATTTCCACCATGAATTCATTTAAAAAGTACCTTTATCTATAATCATAATCCATTAACGGATAATAGACTAAAAGACACCTTAAGATACATTATACATATAAGTTTAATAAGAATTGAGCTACTTAGTAATTCTAACTTAAAAAGTACCATTATAAACAATACGTCAAATCATTTATTATTACTTGCAACACGTTAATGTGTTCAATATCAAAGGACATAGATAAAAATCAAACCATGAAGACAAGTTTTTTAGACTAGTTTCATAATATATACGATGGAGTTGTATTATACTTCACCTTTTCTTTTCGTCTATCTCTTTCTATGTACATCCAATGTATGTTATACAATGTACATTTCTACGGGGCGGCATTCCTATGTCATAAGATAATAGGAACTTACTTCATAATCCCACATGATTCGTCGCTTCATTTCTCTTTTACTAACGTTTTATGTCAATAAGATCCAATCCATTCTTACTTTACTTAGCAACAGTTTAAAGTAATTAAGTAAAAGTCCGTTGTAAGCCTAACCTGAATTACGTAAAACTCGGGTTAGTTCTCGCAGCATAGATTTGCTGACATTTTGCAAACTGGTTTGGTCTAACAAATTTAGTCTTAAACTTTATTAACACAGGTGTTCTAAAGGCAAGAGAGATATTAGTATTGAATAGTGTTTGAATAATGATTAGAGTGTACGCCTACGTAGGGTTAGTTCGGCATGATAGATTCTAAATTTTCGATAAATAGATACAAAAAAATATATACAACAATTTTTTTTTAAATATATTTATATTTACTATATAAATATAATATAAATACGAAATCTGTAGACTGTAATAAAATATAAGATCAAGAGGGCGAAAAGATTGCTTGGAATTGGATTGGGAATATAGAACATCTGTTTGCAAGTAACAGGCAAGGGACTACCAGGTGTCAAGGTAGGGACTTGGGGGGCGAAGGGTGCGACGACCCCGGACCCTATCGCGCGTGCTCACCGTCACGCATACTTCCCATCTGTCTCAAGCAAATCTTTACCTTCGGTGTTGGTAGGCAAGGGTAAAATTAAAGTTTATTGATTTCAAAATCTTGATTCCAGTAGTGTTCAATATGAAAAGCAGTGTACTTGGACTAGTTTCAAAGTAATTTTGCAGCTAAATATATTGCCATTACATCAATCAAATAAAGGATTCTCATATTAATT